AGCAAGTTGGGGTGTGCTTCGTGTTCAGGCAGTGCGGTGGTGAGCTCTCCCTGACGAGCGCACTCCATTTCTTTGCAGGTGCAGCAGGAGGAGCAGGAGGAGAGACGGGAGGTCTTAGCCTTGGAAGGACAGACCTGGAAAGCAAGCTGAGAAACCGCATGATCCCCTTTGTCAAGGCACGGGGCCAGAAGGCCGCGGGCCCTTCATCCAAGCATTTGGAGCCGCCAACGAAGGCCAGTCAACCAGGCTCCGTCTTCTGCTTGGCATCCCGGCTTGAGAGGCGAGGCGTCCTCCATCAGTAACACCGAAAGTGGAGGGCCCAGGCGCCGGTGGCACAATTCCAGTGCAGGAAATCGCTAGATGTCAACTCACAAATGCTGGCAGCACTTGCCCTTCATCCGCTTGCACAGGCAGCGCGGGCCCTCCGAGCGTTTCAGAGGACGCAACCTCCGAGGAGCGCGCGGAGGCCACGGACGCTGCAGACTTGGAGCCAGCAACGGGCCGACGAGACACTAGGGAGCAGAGAGAACTGTTTGAGTAGTGCTGCTTCGGCACTATCTTCATTGTTCTTTACTGCTGCCAGTGCTGCTTGCACTCTGGCCCCGGACCACTCTCACGACCGACTTGCGCAGGGTGGGCCGGTGTAAGCACGTTTCTTCATCTGCCGCATATTTCGCAAAGGCGAGCATTCAGGCATGCAAGTGGGTCGACAAACTGGACAGACGAAGAATTACAGAGGACGGCGTTGAATAGCAGACTCTACTGCCGTTCTCGCAGCTTCGCGAACGTTATGTTACGTATCTTCTCCAGGCAAACATAGGGCTGAGGGCTCTTATTTCAAAGCCGGGAGCAAGTTGGGGTGTGCTTCGTGTTCAGGCAGTGCGGTGGTGAGCTCTCCCTGACGAGCGCACTCCATTTCTTTGCAGGTGCAGCAGGAGGAGCAGGAGGAGAGACGGGAGGTCTTAGCCTTGGAAGGACAGGCCTGGAAAGCAAGCTGAGAAACTGCATGATCCCCTTTGTCAAGGCACGGGGCCAGAAGGCCGCGGGCCCTTCATCCAAGCATTTGGAGCCGCCAACGAAGGCCAGTCAACCAGGCTCCGTCTTCTGCTTGGCATCCCGGCTTTCTGGCAAAGGCGAGGCGTCCTCCATCAGTAACACCGAAAGTGGAGGGCCCAGGCGCCGGTGGCACAATTCCAGTGCAGGAAATCGCCAGATGTCAACTCACAAGTGCTGGCAGCACTTGCCCTTCATCCGCTTGCACAGGCAGCGCGCGCCCTCCGAGCGTGTCAGAGGACGCAACCTCCGAGGAGCGCGCGGAGGCCACGGACGCTGCAGACTTGGAGCCAGCAACGGGCCGACGAGACACTAGGGAGCAGAGAGAACTGTTTGAGTAGTACTGCTTCGGCACTATCTTCATTGTTCTTTACTGCTGCCAGTGCTGCTTGCACTCTGGCCCCGGACCACTCTCACGACCGACTTGCGCAGGGTGGGCCGGTGTAAGCGCGTTTCTTCATCTGCCGCATATTTCGCAAAGGACGCACCGTGTGGTGAGAACAAGTGGGTTGTCTGGGAGTCGAGGGTTGCAGGAAAGCCTTCGCTTTCTCCTGTTTGCAGGATCCTCTTTACAATTCATGGGGGCAAGCACGTCTATTCGCAGCATAAGAAATGGCCGATCTTGGTGTTGTCATGTCTATCAGGGAACAGCAGCTGCAAGCAAGGCATGGACATCGGGTGTGGGGCGATCACAGGCTTGGGACAGGAGCGAAGGACTCCAAAGCAGGGCTCCGCACGGCTAATACGTGGAGTATCGCTGTGTGGGCGGGCCAAAGCTCCTCTCAGTGTAAGTCTGTTGTTTGGCATGAACATGCGTGAACTGAATTTCGTACACTTCACAATCAAGCCGCCGTCCCCTCGTCCAAGGCCAGTGCCTCCAGTGCCGTGTCGCAGACGAGCACACTCTGCAGCGCGCGGCGTGCAGACAGCATCGCCGGCTCCATGACTTTCTCGGTATCTACCAGTGGCTCGGATCATCTCGGATCCGCTGGGGCTTGTTTGTTTTTTTTTTGTTTGTTTTCTGTTCTGGAGTCTGGGTAATTGCAAATGCTAGGGTAGGAGGGAATACTAGGGCAGAAGAAGAAGACGTAGTAGCAGTAGTAGCTACCCTAAACCAACAGCCGTGAAAGGCTTGTAAACTGAAGAGCGGAGGGGCTCGGAACACGAAGAAGAGTTGTGGTGGTGTTGGTGCAGCAGTCGAAGTGCTAGTAGAAGGAGCAGTAGTAGCAATAGCAGTAGCAGTAGCAGTAGCCGTAGCAGTAGCTGCAGCAGCAGCAGCAACAGCAGCAGCAGAAGTAGAGGTTGCAGTAGCAGTAGCGGTAGAAGCAGTAATAGCAGTAATAGCAGTAGTAGTAGTAGTAGTAGTAGTAGTAGTAGTAGTAGTAGTAGGTAGTTAGTAGTAGTAGTAGTAGTAGTAGTAGTATAGTAGTAGTAGTAATAATAATAGGAGGCAGTGGTAGTGGGAGTAGGAGTGGGAGTGGGGGTGGGAGTGGTAGTGGTAATGGTAGTAGTAG